ATGGTGATTCGAGTGAAAGCATGAATTCAATGTTTTAAAGAACTTCGCGGGACGCAGACGTTGACGTATAGTGATGCGAGAATTATATCATATTAACAGGAATATTTGATATACGTACTTCATGTTATTATATGATCATTCGAAAGCTTACTCACTACCTCATCGGATTTTACTCACAGTATAATCGGAATACTCAGGCAGTAGCATCGGGTCCTATTGAATCGTACTTGTGGTATAATCGGGTCTTTCATTTTCAACTTTCACCGGTGATTTCAATGATATGCAACGTATGGCAGTGAAACAAATGTAATATATTTGCACCTATTGTATCTTTGAATCAAATGGAGTAAATACAGCCATGGTTCTTACTTATTTAAGATGTAAAACATCATTCTAATATTTAGAAGTTGAATTTAGCGCTTTGATAGTAAATATTGCATTAAGTACTCATTATTCTCTAAACATGAGTGCCTGGAACAACAATTATATCGGTTACAAACAATTCTGTGTTTTATCTATTTCTCATATTGAGAAATTCAATATAAAAAAGGAGTTTATTAACTTATCCCCTACATTTTCAGACATCTTCGGGTCTTTGCTCGGCGGTAGGTTGTATATACACAGGTACACTTTCCCCTAGTGTAGATGGGAGTAGAAATAATCTTGATTTACGTCATTAAATATTCAAAATTCAGTCAAAGTGATGTCATATTTTTCATGTTAAAGTACATCTATAAATATGTTTTTGAAAATTGATTATGAAAGTGTAAGAAATGTTACAGGCTTAACAAGATGTTTCATGAGATTTACTTTTCTAGTAAGCTTACTATTTACTGCAACATGAGTTAAATCTGAGTTAACTTTTTAATTTTAAAATGATTTCAAGTCCCTAACTACATGTAAGGTATCATGAAAAGTGAAGATTCATGTAAATGAATATTGCAAAGTTACAAACATTTCGATCATCTTATGATTGGATGGTTTGTTTAGTTGAGGCCATGGAAAATCCAAACCTACAGATTCTATAGACCAGCCTGTAAAGCTTACAATGCTGTTGACATTTATATTTCACAATATTGGTTTAATCAGATTTTAAACTGACATTCTCAGTTTGTTTCACTAACATTACATGTCTAATCTATATAACTGTAAGATAAAAGGTACCTGTTTTTCTGCCTGAGGTTTTATATAATCCAGTCGTGCTGGGGGAATGACAGCTTGAAGCATCCTAGCCTAAAAATAAAATTGTGAAAGAGACATGAAGTGACAGATAAATTGCCAAAAGGTTAATTCGTCTACACTCCTTTCAATAAATTTGGAATCTATAGGCCCTCCTCCCCATATTCATGGGTATAAGATAAATTGCCAAAAGGTTAATTCATCTCCACTTTCAAGGAATTGGAAATCTAGAGGCCCTCCACCCCCATATTCATGGATATCAGATAAATTGCCAAAAGGTTAATTCATCTCCACTTTCAAGGAATTGGAAATCTAGAGGCCCTCCACCCCCATATTCATGGATATCAGATAAATTGCCAAGGTTCATTCATTTACAATCCCCTCAATAAATTTGGAATCAAAAGCCCCTCCTCCCCAATATTTATGAATATCAGATAAATTGCCAAGGTTAATTTATTTACAATCCCCTCAATAAATTTGGAATCAAGAGGCCCTCCTCCCCAATATTCATGAATATCAGATAAATTGCCAAGGTTAATTCTAAACACCCATCTCAATAAATTTGGAATCAAAAGGCCCTCCTCCCCAATATTCATGGATATCAGATAAATTGCCAAGGTTAATTCATTTACAATCCTCTCAATTAATTTGGAATCTGGAGGCCCTTCTCACCCATATTCATGGATATCAGATACATTGCCAAGGTTAATTCATTAACAATCCTCTCAATTAATTTGGAATCTGGAGGCCCTTCTCACCCATATTCATGGATATCAGATACATTGCCAAGGTTAATTCATTTACAATCCTCTCAATTAATTTGGAATCTGGAGGCCCTTCTCACCCATATTCATGGATATCAGATACATTGCCAAGGTTAATTCATTAACAATCCTCTCAATTAATTTGGAATCTGGAGGCCTTCCTTCCCCATATTCATGGATATCAGATAAATTGCCAAAGTTAATTCCTTTTTATCAACGAGCTGATATTGATATCTGCATGAGAGAGCAAAGCGAACGAGTGCATATATCAATATCACCGAGTATCCTACACTTAAAAGGAGTGTACTAAATGTTTAATAACATTGAAAATGAATTTCATGCCAAATAGAGTTAATATGGCGGAAAATCAACAAGCGGAGTACATCGTCACAATATCCTCCGCATATTGGGTTTTCCGGAGTATATCGTCACGATATCCTCCGCATATTTGTTTTCCGGAGTATATTGTGGCGATATCCTCGGTTTATTCATTTTGCCAATAGATTTCAATTTTTTTTTAATGTTATTATACATTTAGCACACTAAGTGTAGGATAAGCATGGATATTAGATAAATTGCTGAGGTTAATTCATCTTCACTCCTCTAAATAAATTTAAAATCAAGAGGTCCTCTCCCATATTCATGGATATCAGATAATTTGCCAAAGTTAATTCATTTATAAACCTCACAATAAATTTGAAATCAACAGGCCCTCCTCCCCTGTATTCATGGAAATCAGATGAATTGCCCAAAGGTTAATTCATTTACAATCCCCTCAATAAATTTGGAATCAAGAGGCCATCCTCCGCAATATTTATGGATTTCAGATAAATTGCCAAAAGGTTCATTCATCTACACTCCTCTCAAAAAATTTGGAATCTAAAGGCCCTCCTCCCCCATGTTCATGGATATTAGATAAATTGCCAAGGTTAATTCATTTACAATCCTCTCAATTAATTTGGAATCTAAAGGCCCTCCTCCCCTGTATTCATGGAAATCAGATAAATTGCCAAAAGGTTAATTCATTTACACTCCTCTCATAAAATTTTGAATCAAAAGGCCCTCCTCCCCCATATTCATGGAAATCAGATAAAATGCCAAGATTAATTCATTTACAATCCTCTAAATAAATTAATAGCCCCATATTCATAGATATTTCAGATTAACTCCCAAGGTTAATTCATGCACAATCCCCTCAATGAATTTGAAATATAGAGGCCCTCTTCCCCATATTCATGGATATCAGATAAACTGCCAAGGTTAATTCATTTACAATCCCCTCAATAAATTTGGAATCTAGAGGCCCTCCTCCCCCATATTCATGGATATCAGATAAACTGCCACGGTTAATTCATTCACAATCCTCTAAATAAATTAAGAGCCCCATATTCATGGATATTTCAGATTAACTACCAAGGTTAATTCATGTACAATCCCCTCAATGAATTTGAAATCTAGAGGCCCTCCTCCCCCATATTCATGGATATCAGATAAACTGCCAAGGTTATTTCATTTAAAATCCTCTCAATGAATTTGAAATCTAAAGGCCCTCCTCCCCATATTCATGGATATCAGATAAATTGCCAAGGTTAATTCATTTACAATCCCCTCAATAAATTTGGAATCTAGAGGCCCTCCTCCCCCATATTCATGGATATCAGATAAATTGCTAATCCATGTACAATTCTCTAAATTTTAAAATCAAGAGGTCCTCCCCCATATTCATGGATATTAGATACATTACCAAGGTTAATTCATTTACAATACTCTCAAATCATTTGGAATCTAGAGGCCCTCCTCACCCATATTCATGGATATCAGATAAACTGCCAAGGTTTATTCTTTACATTCCACATTAGATTTGGAATCTAGAGGCCCTCCTACCCCATATTCACAGATATCAGATAAATTGCCAAGATTAATTCATCTACACTCTTCTCAATAAATTTGGAATCAAAAGGCCCTCCTCCCCAATATTCATGGATATCAGATAAATTGCCAAGGTTCATTCATCTACACTCCTCTCAATGAATTTGGAATCTAGAGGCCCTCCTCCCCCATATTCACAGATATCAGATAAATTGCCAAGGTTAATTCATCTACACTCCTCTCAATAAATTTGGAATCAAGATACCCCTCCTCCCGCATATTCACGGATATCAGATAAACTGCCAAGGTTAATTCATCTACACTCCAAAACAAAAATATATTTTTCTTAAATATATGGGATATTCTGATAAAGAATGTTTTCTCATTTTCTCTATTTCATCATTAGACTTAACAAGTTCTCCAAGGATTGTGCTTCTGATGAATTTTCAACACCCTAGAATAAAATATTACTACAAAAATAAATGTTCCTTAAATATCTGGGGATTATGATAAAGAATAAAAAATGATATCATTATGCACCTTGTCTAGATACAGAAATCTGATTGGTTCTAAGCTACTGGTAATTTGGCAATATCTGGCTTTTTTAAAAAACTGCCAAATATTTTTTTGAAACTGCCCAATATTTTTTGCAATTGGCCAATATTTTTTTCAATGTTTTTGCAACATTCCCCACAAGAGTTTTATTTCTCAATAACTTGAGTTCTACTAAAGCTAACAGCAGAATCTGATGGCAAACAGAAGGAAAAAAGTGTACTTAATCAATCACAAGTACCCTTATCATTCAAATATTACACATAATTCTGCAAGAACGCCTCAAATGAATGTAAATTAAATCCCGGGACAAGACAACGCTTTTTCATTTAGTGTATAGCTAGCGGGAAGTTCAAGTTTTCAGAAAAATCAAAAGTTCTAAATGTAAGTACATCGTAGCACACTCAAAAAGATTGATTGAGAAGATGCATAATAAAACAAATACTAGATGATCAGGAGCTGGATATGGCCAGAATACCTATCCTTGAAAAAATATAAGGCTCGGCCCAATATTTCCTACTCTAATAGGTATTCTGCCATATCCAGCTCCTGATACCAGTATTTGTATAATATCTAATCATTTTCTCTTAATACCTCTGCTGCATGTTGGTTTCTCAATTTCTCCATATCTTCATGAGACTTTGCCAGTTCATTCTCCAAGGATTGTACTTTTGCTGAATTTTCAACCGCCTAGAATGAAATATTACAACAAAAATACATGTTTCTTAAATATTTGGGGATTCTGATAAAGAATGAATGATAAGTTCTTGGTGATGACAAATGATTAGGTGACCTGAGGTTAACATCAACTTTATGGGTCAAGGTCATTCCAAGGTCAAAGGTCAATATCTTGGTATTTTGAGTTTTAATGAATTTGGGGCTGTTGTGATTCTTAGCTATCCATGATTAGGTTACCCGAGGTTAAGGTCATTCTGAGGTCAAATATCAATATATAGGTATTTGTTGATTGAAAGTCCTTTGGGCGCAGTTACCCTTGGCGACCAATGATTAGATGACGTGAAGTCAAAGTCAGCTTCATGGGCAAGGTCATTCTAAGGTCAACATTTTGGTATTTGGCATTTTAATGCATTTGGGGCCTGTTGTGACCCTTGGTGACCCATGATTAAGCGACCTGGGGTCAAGGTTATTCCTAGGTCAAAGGTCAATATTTAGGTATTTGATGATTTAAGGTCCTTGGGGCTGCTCTGACCCTTGGCGACCAATGGATAGGTGACCTGAGGTCAATGTTTATGAGTAAAGGTAATTTCAAGGTCAAAAATCAATATCTAAGTATTTGGCGTTTTAAGGACTTTGGTTGCTGCTGTAACCTTTGGCGCCGATTATAAAGTGACCTAGTGTCAAGGTTAAATTGGTTAAGGTCATCTCCAGGTTATAGGTGTGTACAGGGTGTCCTTAAAAGCCCTTCAAATAGAGATGTGGAATTGTATAACCCTCTTAAAACCTGTTAAGGGACTTTAGAAGAGTTTCCTAGAGTTTCTACCCTCATTGTTCTCTTTTTCCACTCAATATTCATCCGAGCCGAAAAGAATTGCTGCTGTTAAGATGGCCCGGGAGGACACACTGACTAGTGATTTGGTGTTAAATTGAACTTTATTTTGACCAAACACTAAATTTTGAAATGCTTGTAATTTTTTCACATTTGAGAGTTGAACCATGATATTTGGTGAATCAATGTAACTTTGGATAAGCTTTAAAATGATATATGACACATACTATGACGACACTGGTATATGTCTGCCTAGGGGGAGCCCCATACTTTCGGGACACCCTGTATATAAGTATTTGGCATTCTAAGGCACTTGAAGAATATTGTGACCATTGGCAACTCATGATGAGATGACCTGGGGTCAAAGTCAATATTTATGGACCAAGAATCAGTCAAGGTCAAACAATCAATATGCAGGTATTTAGCATTTTATGGGGTTTGCTGCCATTTGGGGGTGATGTGACCCTTAGTTACTCACTCTAATGGGTAGATTTGCTAGTTCTGATAAAGAATGAATGACAAGTTCTAATCATTTCTTATAATACCTCTGCTGCATGTTGGTTTCTTATTTTTTCCATATCTTCCTGAGACTTTGCCAGTTCGTTCTCCATGGATTGTACTTTTGATGAATGTTCAGCAGCCTAGAATAAAATGTTAAAATAAAAACATGTGTTTCTTAAATATCAGGTGATTCTGAAAAAGAATGAATGACAAGTTCTAATCATTTCTTATAATACCTCTGCTGCATGTTGGTTTCTCAATTTCTCCATATCTTCCTGAGACTTTGCCAGTTCATTCTCCATGGATTGTACTTTTGATGAATGTTCAAGAGCCTAGAATAAAATGTTAAAATAAAAACATGTGTTTCTTAAATATCAGGTGATTCTGAATAAGAATGAATGACAAGTTCTAATCATTTCTTATAATACCTCTGCTGCATGTTGGTTTCTCAATTTCTCCATATCTTCCTGAGACTTTGCCAGTTCATTCTCCATGGATTGTACTTTTGATGAATGTTCAAGAGCCTAGAATAAAATGTTAAAATAAGAAAATGTATTTCTTAAACATCAGGTGATTCTGATATAGAATGAATGACAAGTTCTAATCATTTCTTATAATACCTCTGCTGCATGTTGGTTTCTTATTTTTTCCATATCTTCATGAGACTTTGCCAGTTCGTTCTCCATGGATTGTACTTTTGATGAATGTTCAGCAGCCTAGAATAAAATGTTAAAATAAAAACACGTGTTTCTTAAATATCAGGTGATTCTGTGTAAAGAATGACAAGTTCTAATCATTTCTTATAATACCTCTGCTGCATGTTGGTTTCTCATTTTCTCCATATCTTCATGAGACTTTGCCAGTTCATTCTCCATGGATTGTACTTTGGTTGAATGTTCAACAGCCTAGAATAAAATGTTAAAATGAAAACATGTGTTTATTAAACATCAGGTGATTCTGATATAGAATGAATGACAAGTTCTAATCATTTCTTATAATACCTCTGCTGCATGTTGGTTTCTCAATTTCTCCATATCTTCATGAGACTTTGCCAGTTCGTTCTCCATGGATTGTACTTTTGATGAATGTTCAGCAGCCTAGTATAAAATGTTAAAAATAAAAACATGTGTTTCTTAAACATCAGGTGATTCTGATAAAGAATGAATGACAAGTTCTAATCATTTCTTATAATACCTCTGCTGCATGTTGGTTTCTCATTTTCTCCATATCTTCATAAGACTTTGCCAGTTCGTTCTCCATGGATTGTACTTTTGATGAATGTTCAGCAGCCTAGAATAAAATGTTAAAATAAAAACATGTATTCCTTAAACATCAGGTGATTCTGATATAGAATGAATGACAAGTTCTAATAATTTCTTATAATACCTCTGCTGCATGTTGGTTTCTCATTTTCTCCATATCTTCATGAGACTTTGCCAGTTCGTTCTCCATGGATTGTACTTTTGCTGAATGTTCAAGAGCCTAAAATAAAATGTTAAAATGAAAACATGTGTTTATTAAACATCAGGTGATTCTGATATAGAATGAATGACAAGTTCTAATCATTTCTTTTAATACCTCTGCTGCATGTTGGTTTCTCAATTTCTCCATATCTTCATGAGACTTTGCCAGTCCGTTCTCCATGGATTGTACTTTTGATGAAAGTCCAACAACCTGGAATAAAATTTTTAAATAAAAACATGTATTCCTTAAACATCGGGTGATGCTGATATAGAATGAATGACAAGTTCTAATCATTTCTTTTAATACCTCTGCTGCATGTTGGTTTCTCAATTTCTCCATATCTTCATGAGACTTTGCCAGTTCGTTCTCCATGGATTGTACTTTTGCTGAATGTTCAAGAGCCTAGAATAAAATGTTAAAATGAAAACATGTGTTTATTAAACATCAGGTGATTCTGATATAGAATGAATGACAAGTTCTAATCATTTCTTATAATACCTCTGCTGCATGTTGGTTTCTCAATTTCTCCATATCTTCATGAGACTTTGCCAGTTCGTTCTCCATCAATTGCGCTTTTGCTGAATGTTTAAGAGCCTAGAATAAAATGTTAAAATGGAAACATGTGTTTCTTAAACATCAGGTGATTCTGAATTCTGATATAGAATGAATGACAAGTTCTAATCATTTCTTTTAATACCTCTGCTGCATGTTGGTTTCTCATTTTCTCCATATCTTCATGAGACTTTGCCAGTTCGTTCTCCATGGATTGTACTTTTGCTGAATGTTCAGCAGCCTAGAATAAAATGTTAAAATGAAAACATGTGTTTATTAAACATCAGGTGATTCTGATATAGAATGAATGACAAGTTCTAATCATTTCTTATAATACCTCTGCTGCATGTTGGTTTCTCATTTTCTCCATATCTTCATGAGACTTTGCCAGTTCGTTCTCCATGGATTGTACTTTTGCTGAATGTTCAGCAGCCTAGAATAAAATGTTAAAATAAAAACATGTGTTTCTTAAATATCAGGTGATCCTGATATAGAATGAATGACAAGTTCTAATCATTTCTTTTAATACCTCTGCTGCATGTTGGTTTCTCATTTTCTCCATATCTTCATGAGACTTTGCCAGTTCGTTCTCCATGGATTGTACTTTGGTTGAATGTTCAACAGCCTAGAATAAAATGTTAAAATAAAAACATGTGTTTCTTAAACATCAGGTGATTCTGATATAGAATGAATGACAAGTTCTAATCATTTCTTATAATATCTTTCAAAACTTGTGAGTTTAATTGAAGAATGACAGTAATAAAGTTTATTATATAATACCTCTGCTGCATGTTGGTTTCTCATTTTCTCCATATCTTCATGAGACTTTGCCAGTTCGTTCTCCATGGATTGTACTTTGGTTGAATGTTCAACAGCCTAGAATAAAATGTTCAAATAAAAACATGTGTTTATTAAACATCAGGTGATTCTGATATAGAATGAATGACAAGTTCTAATCATTTCTTATAATACCTCTGCTGCATGTTGGTTTCTCAATTTCTCCATATCTTCATGAGACTTTGCCAGTCCGTTCTCCATGGATTGTACTTTTGATGAAAGTCCAACAACCTGGAATAAAATTTTTAAATAAAAACATGTATTCCTTAAACATCGGGTGATGCTGATATAGAATGAATGACAAGTTCTAATCATTTCTTTTAATACCTCTGCTGCATGTTGGTTTCTCAATTTCTCCATATCTTCATGAGACTTTGCCAGTTCGTTCTCCATGGATTGTACTTTTGATGAATGTTCAAGAGCCTAGAATAAAATGTTCAAATAAAAACATGTGTTTATTAAACATCAGGTGATTCTGATATAGAATGAATGACAAGTTCTAATCATTTCTTATAATACCTCTGCTGCATGTTGGTTTCTCAATTTCTCCATATCTTCATGAGACTTTGCCAGTTCGTTCTCCATCGATTGCGCTTTTGCTGAATGTTTAAGAGCCTATAATAAAATGTTAAAATGGAAACATGTGTTTCTTAAACATCAGGTGATTCTGAATTCTGATATAGAATGAATGACAAGTTCTAATTATTTCTTTTAATACCTCTGCTGCATGTTGGTTTCTCATTTTCTCCATATCTTCATGAGACTTTGCCAGTTCATTCTCCATGGATTGTACTTTTGATGAATGTTCAGCAGCCTAGAATAAATGTTAAAATAAAAACGTGTGTTTCTTAAATATCAGGTGATTCTGTGTAAAGAATGACAAGTTCTAATCATTTCTTATAATACCTCTGCTGCATGTTGGTTTCTCAATTTCTCCATATCTTCATGAGACTTTGCCAGTTCGTTCTCCATGGATTGTACTTTTGCTGAATGTTCAGCAGCCTAGAATAAAATGTTAAAATAAAAACATGTGTTTCTTAAATATCAGGTGATCCTGATATAGAATGAATGACAAGTTCTAATCATTTCTTTTAATACCTCTGCTGCATGTTGGTTTCTCATTTTCTCCATATCTTCATGAGACTTTGCCAGTTCGTTCTCCATGGATTGTACTTTCGTTGAATGTTCAACAGCCTAGAATAAAATGTTAAAATGAAAACATGTGTTTATTAAACATCGGGTGATTCTGATATAGAATGAATGACAAGTTCTAATCATTTCTTATAATATCTTTCAAAACTTGTGAGTTTAATTGAAGAATGACAGTAATAAAGTTTATTATATAATACCTCTGCTGCATGTTGATTTCTCATTTTCTCAATATCTTCATGAGACTTTGCCAGTTCGTTCTCCATGGATTGTACTTTGGTTGAATGTTCAACAGCCTAGAATAAAATGTTAAAATAAAAACATGTGTTTATTAAACATCAGGTGATTCTGATATAGAATGAATGACAAGTTCTAATCATTTCTTATAATACCTCTGCTGCATGTTGGTTTCTCAATTTCTCCATATCTTCATGAGACTTTGCCAGTTCGTTCTCCATGGATTGTACTTTTGATGAATGTTCAGCAGCCTAGAATAAAATGTTAAAAATAAAAACATGTGTTTCTTAAACATCAGGTGATTCTGATATAGAATGAATGACAAGTTCTAATCATTTCTTATAATACCTCTGCTGCATGTTGGTTTCTCAATTTCTCCATATCTTCATGAGACTTTGCCAGTTCGTTCTCCATGGATTGTACTTTTGATGAATGTTCAGCAGCCTAGAATAAAATGTTAAAATAAAAACATGTGTTTCTTAAACATTAGGTGATTCTGAAAAAGAATGAATGACAAGTTCTAATTATTTCTTATAATACCTCTGCTGCATGTTGGTTTCTCAATTTCTCCATATCTTCATGAGACTTTGCCAGTTTGTTCTCCATGGATTGTACTTTTGATGAATGTTCAGCAGCCTAGAATAAAATGTTAAAATAAAAACATGTGTTTCTTAAACATCAGGTGATTCTGATATAGAATGAATAAGTTCTAATCATTTCTTATAATACCTCTGCTACATGTTGGTTTCTCATTTTCTCCATATCTTCATGAGACTTTGCCAGTTCATTCTCCATGGATTGTTCTTTTGATGAATGTTCAAGAGCCTAGAATAAAATGTTAAAATAAAAAAAATGTATTTCTTAAATATCAGGTGATACTGATTAAGAATGAATGACAAGTTCTAATCATTTCTTATAATACCTCTGCGGCCTGTTGGTTTCTCAATTTCTCCATATCTTCATGAGACTTTGCTAGTTCGTTCTCCATGGATTGTACTTTTGCTGAATGTTCAGCAGCCTAGAATAAAATGTTAAAATGAAAACATGTGTTTATTAAACATCAGGTGATTCCGATATAGAATGAATGACAAGTTCTAATCATTTCTTATAATACCTCTGCTGCATGTTGGTTTCTCATTTTCTCCATATCTTCATGAGACTTTGCCAGTTCATTCTCCATGAATTGTACTTTTGATGAATGTTCAGCAGCCTAGAATAAAATGTTAAAATAAAAACATGTGTTTCTTAAATATCAGGTGATTCTGAAAAAGAATGAATGACAAGTTTTAATCATTTCTTATAATACCTCTGCTGCATGTTGGTTTCTCATTTTCTCCATATCTTCATGAGACTTTGCTAGTTCATTCTCCATGGATTGTACTTTTGATGAATGTTCAGCAGCCTAGAATAAAATGTTAAAATGAAAACATGTGTTTCTTAAATATAAAGAGATTCTGATAAATAATGAATAATAAGGTCTAATTATTTTTTATAATACCTCTATTTCATGTTGTTTTCCCATTTTCTCCATATCATCATAAGACTTTGCCAGTTCATTCTCTAAGGATTGTACTTTTGATGAATGTTCAACATCCTAGAATGAAATATAAGTACAAATTTTAGTAGAAGAATGGTAGCAATAAACATTTTAAAAATTGGCAAAAAAACACTTAAATATCAAGTGATTCTGATAAATAATGAATAGATAGATAGTATTATACACGGCTGCACATTGTTTTCTCCTTTCCTATTGTTATAAAAATACTTTGTGAGTTTATTTTATAAATACCTCTGTTTTGTATTTCATTGTCATTTTCTCCATATCTTTTTTAGACTGTAACAGTTCATTCTCTATTGATTGGTTTTGTTTCTTCTCTTTTTTGACGTTGTTTTGTGATTTTGATAACTGTTCCTCTATGGATTGTATTCTTGATTTGTACTGTTGAGCCTATAATGAAAGACATTTTGATAAGACTTCTTCACTTGAACATTGATCTCACTGGTTGATTTCGATATAAATCCCAATTTCAAATTTTTTAAAAGTACCTCTGTTTTGTGTTTTTCTATTTCTTCTTTGTCTTTTTTAGACTGTTCTCTCACTTTTTTGAGGTTGCTTTGTGATTTTGATAACTTGTCTTCAGCGGATTTCATTTTTGATGTGTGCTCCTTAGCCTACAATAAAATACATTCTGATAAGTGTAGATAAGCTACACCTACTCTTAAACAGCAGTAGGTGCAGTTTGTCCTATTTTTGATTGGAGAAATTGTGATCTACAATAACTAACACCATCAATCTAACCTATATCATAGATTTTCCAAAAGATGGCAGATTTTATTGGAACAGTCTATTGTAAACAGTTGTCTAGTTATCAATAGTAATTCCTTTTCACCTCTGTTTTGTATTTCATTGTCATTTCCTCCATGTCTTTTTTAGACTGTACCAGTTCATTCTTGATAGATTGGTTTTGTTTCTTCTCTTTTTTGAAGTTGTTTTGTGATTTTGATAACTGTTCCCCTATGGATTTTATTCTTGATTTGTACTGCCTTGCCTACAATAAAATTCTATTATTATATCACTGTCATATTCTCCATTCTTTCATTGGTCTATACATTACATGTGACATAAAAAGAGGTATTCAATGGCCATGCCTGTGACATCAAAAAAGGCATATTCAACTGGTGTATTCACCAGTTGCATCATTTGGTCCAGTGTAAATCTGAAAGTTATACGAAAAAATCTGATAATTCATGTTCTTACAAGACATTCCAAACAGTAAGATTGGCGAATATAACAATGAATAGTATATGATTCCGCAAGGTGTATTCCTCTGGTTCTTCAGACTTTGGGAATACACCTTGGAAGAATCATTGAAAGATGAATAGGTATTCACCTCAATAGTATGAAATATTTGTATAATATTAATATCATACCGATACCTGTAGATAAGCTAAGGTCTATAAGTTTTCAGATAAAAATGACAGATCACAAATGAATACCTTAGATTCAAATTGTTCTAGATTATCATTGACATTCTTTATGTCTGGACTTCAGATGAATGTTCATGAAAGATACTTTCAGGCATTCACGACGTTTAATTTGAAACATGGATCAGATTCTATGCTAAGGGCTGATGTAAAAATCCCTATACCTTGCATGGAAATTGAACCATCAACCTCAACTGTCTAGGTAATGAGGCAGTATCAAGACATTTCACCCTCTGGACACCTCACCCCCTAGACATATCACTCCTAGAAGTTTCATCCCCTAGACATTTCATTCTCTGGACATTTCACTCCAAGATATGTTTTACCATTTGGACATTTCACCCCTTGACAATCCACCCTCAGTATTTTACTCCTTCACAGTTTATTTTAGCATTCATCATAATTAAAGCTGAATATCCATAGTATAAATGGTATTACTCCCGATATTACGCTACACCACACAAAATAGAAAATTCTGAGGTTTACAGAAAATTCCAAAGTCAAACATGCAAATGATGCATAATATTTAACAATAAATGGCCTCCAAACCTCCCCTCACAGATATCTGTTTCACACCATTCTGTTACCCTTTTCTGTTTTAAACATTAAAGATTATACATATCAGAAATTACACGTCATCAGAAGCTTGACATATAAAAGTATGAAAAAATCAATTTAACTTACACGCAACTGTTTTTTTTTTTTTTAACACAAAACCCTTTTTATGATAATGTGCATTAATGTTACTTGGAGAAGAAATCAAAGACTCAAATTCAGTCAAAATTTACCAATAACTCAACATTCAGCGGTGAAATATCTTGGGGTGAAATGTCTAAGGGGTGAAATATCCATGGATAGAAGCGCCGCCCTAAGGGGTGAAAAGTCCAGAGGTGAAAAGTCCAGGGGATAAAATGTCTTAATACTGGTAATTAGTATATGAGTAACACTACTACTAGCCTAGTACTTATTATCCCCACAAACAAAGTTTGGTGTAGGGATATTGTGATCAGTGATTCCCCCAAAGCAGGAAATACAACCCTTAGACAGAGAATAGGTATACCAATGAGAATCGATCCAGCTCCATTTATGGCAAATCTATACTAATATAGCTATGAGTTTCAAGCTATAGAAAAGATGCTCAAGAAGGACTATTCAAAAATACTTAAATACACAAAAACCACAAGGTTAATAGATAACTTATGTAGCATGAACAATGATGGAGAAATGGAGAAAGACATGAAAGAAATATATCCCAAAGAAAAAAGGAAAAACAACAAGATTCATGCCTCGAAAAACTTAGAAATGGCCACTTGGATTTTAGAATACACAGTCATTTGAGATATGTGCAAGGTAATTTACCCCCATCTCTGTATTTTAGGATATATCTGAATATTTACCAAACACTGAAATTTACACTTTACATAGTGCCTAAAATTTTTCATTCGAAATTGCAACTCATAACCTATCAATATAAATAGTTTAATTGACTGATATGAATGATATACTATACCTCATTTTCAGCTTCTTCTGTAACAATATTATGGGATTTCTTTTCTTCAGCTAGATCATTCTCAAGTTCTGCAACTTTTCTAGTTAACCTGTCACACTAGAATAATATATTCATAGAGTGTTTTTATGGCAACAATGATCAATTATGTCATTAATTCATTACATTTTTCAGACTGTTTTTTTATTAGCCTCTTTTACAAGTTCTAATTTAACCTGTGTATGTTCATTTGTACCTAGTGCCTTCCACTAGTACATCTATATAACATTTATTTCATTGAATTTCCTTGTCAAAAAGAATTTCAATGTGTCGGTCCAAATCTGCCTTACTTTTTAAATAACTAGAGATGTTTGCTTGATTTGGTAGTATCGTTTTATCTCTTTCTGGATACTAATTATTTTGTCTGCAAGTTTAAAAAAATAAAAAAAATATCGCACTTTGAAGAGCAAACTGGCCACCATGCAATTCACCCAGCATGGCCAAAACCTAATCAGACCTTGGCACTAGTCTGCTCTTGCATCTGTAAACATTTCAAGTTGACAAGGTTAGCGGTTTTCCTGCAATTTTGATGACAAGAATTTATTTGTAGTCTTGAACTTTGGGAAAATTTAGATAACATTGTTTGTGACCTAATTTGATGACCTTCGACCTTGAAAATTTAACTTTTTCAGACCTCAGTAAGTGTTTTGTAATTAAGCTGACCTAAATTTAAATCGAAAATATCAATTTAGAAAATCAACTTTTTGACCTTTTCAAGGCCACTGAAGGTGAACGAAAGGTCAAATCTGAAATCTAAGGTCAGATTTGAACTTCTGAGAACTTGTAGATGTTTTTTAAAAAAAATTGGTCAATTTGGAGCAAGTTGAAAAATTCAAAATGGCCGCCAAATTGAAAAATTCAAAATGGCCACCATGTAATTCAGCCAGCATACCCAAAACCTAATCAGATCTTGGCAATAGTCTGCTCTTGCATCTCTAAAAATTTCAAGTTGAACGGATAAGTGGTTTTCCTGGAATTTTGATGACAAGATTTGTTGAAAAATTCAAGATGGCCGCAACATAGTTTACCCAGCATGCCCTAAACCTAATCAGATCTTAGCACTAGTCGGCTATTGCATGTGTAAAAATTTCAAGTTGAACAGGTTAGCGGTTTTCTTGGAATTTTGATGACAAGAATTGATTTGTAGTCTCAAACTTTGAGAAACTTGGATAACATCATTTGTGACCTAGTTTAATGACCTTGACCTTCGACCTTGAAAATTTCACTTTTTCAGACCTCAGTAGGTGTTTTGTAATTAAGCTGACCTAAATTTAAATCCAAAATATCAATTTAGAAAATCAACTTTTTTGACCTTTTCAAGGTCACTGAAGGTGAATGAAAGGTCAAATCTGAAATCTAAGGTCAGATTTGAACTTTTCGGAACTTGTAGATGTTTTTAAAAAAAAATTTGGTCAATTTGGAGCAAGTTGAAAAATTCAAAATGGCCGCCAAATTGAAAAATTCAAAATGGCCACCATGTATTTCAGCCAGCATACCCAAAACCTAACCAGATCTTGGCAATAGTCTGCTCTTGCATCTGTAAAAATTTCAAGTTGAACGGATAAGTGGTTTTCCTGGAATTTTGATGACAAGATTTGTTGAAAAATTCAAAATGGCCGCCACGTAGTTTACCCAGCATGCCCTTAACCTAATCAGATCTTGGTACTAGTCTGCTCTTGCATCTGTAAAAATTTCAAGTTGAACAGGTAAGCAGTTATCCTGGAAATTTGATGACAAGATTTGGTTTATGTCCCGCCCGCCCGCCCAACAGCACAAGACGACGACAATATAGCACTTTTTCAAAGTGCGATAATAAAAACAAATGCAGACTACCTCTTTTTCTGCATTCTGCGTTCTGCGATTTCTGCATTCTGCGAGCTTTTCCTCCAGTGTATTAATGAGTACAGACTGTTTCTGGCCCTATATATTTTTCAAAACAAAAAAACACATTAATTCTTTGGTTGTATCATGGGCTTTCAGTTTATCTAAATAAATTAGTTGCTGAAAAGTGCATAGTGAATGATAAAAAATATACAATCACATATTACTGAACATTAATATTTTTAACTAAGAGATTTAATTACCTTTCCAATTTCTTCTTCCAATAGTGCCTTTTTTTCATCAAGTGCAGACCTCAGATCTTCTATCTGCAATTATAACAATATCTTACATCATTCACAATTCTTCATCCATGTGAACATTTGAAAATAAACAAAAATTGACTGGTATATCAATAAGTGAGTGACATGCATGTTTTTTCTAATTTAATGTTAAGTATGATGTACTCACTTCCTTGATTTCTGGATGCTCTTTAAGGAAAGTTTCATATTTTGTGGGATCATCCCTCTCACTATAGGCTGTTGCTAACAGGGTCAGTGATGTTATTTTTCTAGCATCTTTTGCTTCATGTACACTTTCCTCTAGTGCCTCTGTTGCATCCTCAATTTCTCCTTGTTGCAAACATGCATTTCCATAAGTATTCAGTGCATCAATGTCTTTATCTTGAAGCACTCCTGTTTTCAGACTGTCCAGAAACTGTTTGCTTATATCTGTGTCCTTTATATACACATTGCACAGAATCTGCATTATTAGCTCTGTTGTATTAGTGTATTTGTACTCATCATTTGCAGCCTTCACCCATTTCTTGGCTTGATCAAGTTTCTGCATCAATATATAGGCAATTGCATGGTTCAGATTGGAAGGATTGTAAAGAGATATTTCGACAAGGGATTCAAGAGCATTTCCTTTCGGTCTTTCCTTCTCTATAGCATGAGCTAAAGGAATCACAGTTGTAAAGTATCTCAAAATGGCCTTTTCAGTGATTTTTGCAGCGGCAGCATCAGCTATATTCTTCCCAACAAATAACTTTGGCAAAAGTTGGCCCTTTTCCTCATCAACTTGCCCATTGATTTGAACATAACCCCTGAGTCTCAGCTCTGCTGCTGTTGATAGTACCATCTTCAAATGGTGTACACCTTCACTTGTCAGTCTCTTTAGGCTCTCAACATCCCATATGCAATTTGCATCACTCTTTAGTAAGTGAAGTAGGTTGTTGATTACCACACTTGGCAGGCGATATAGCTCCTTTTTGATGTGGAAAGAGTCCTTTTCTATCATGTGTCTCTCATATTTCCCATTATACATCTTTTTGACACAGGAGTACTTCACAAGATCTTCTTCCAACTCTTTTTCAATTAAATCAGATATGACTTTCCATTGTGTAGGGTCGGCTTTAAAATGCTCTTTCATTTCAGCACCCAAAGATTCATTTCCAAAAAGAGTTGTAAAATCTCCCTTGAAGAAATATAACAACGCTTTCAATTCTTTTTTGTTCATCTTGGGGTACATTTCAAAAAATGCTGTCTTTGTATTTATCAAGCGAAACTTGTTGTTATGGGGATAAACAAAGTATGGTGTTTTATTTGCACCTTGCATTAATCCATCAAATGAGATTCCCTGCTTTACAGTGACGTAAGAACGTAAGTCTAAGTACCAGTCCTTTGTTTTATCACTTGGATCAGTGTTGTCATTTAATGAAGAAATGGCCATTGCTGGAAGGACTGTTTCCCCAAATGATATTAGTTTGAGATGAAGAATCATGATCATTTTCTCCAAGTATTCCCTATATTCAGGTTCCATTTCACTTTGACTAGAATCTTGTACTGCAGCAAACTCAACATCTGAGAATGGAGTTGTTTCCTTCCTTGAAAATGACCCAAATGCTATGAGAGCAAAGTCAATGGGATGGAAGTCTAGTAAATCTTGACATTGTTTTACTAAGTCTGACATGAATTCTTTAATCTCGCTATGGATCCATTTAAAAATGTCTCCAATTTGTTTTATTCTTTTTTTCTCTTGCACTATTCTTTCATCATTCCCAAGCTTTTCCTCATAACAATCACAATCTCTGTTTTCATCCAGTTCTTGGATTTTGACTTTCAAGTCTCTCCTGATAGTATCAAGTTTTGTTTTATTGCTCTTTTCATCTTGAAAATAGCTTTCAGGGGCTTTTTTCCCAATACAGTGTTGAAAGAATAAGTTCAGTGCCTGCCTTTTTGCAGTGTTATACATAGTTACTTCATCTTCCAACTCATCACTACACTGCACTATTCCACATTCGTAAACTGCTATGGCTTTAACAAACTGCATCGGTTCTTTATCAATTTTACCAATATCCCTAATAATATTGCCAAGTTTGAGTAGCAGCTCTACATGCTTCTTCCTGTTGGCCCTCCATTCAACCTCGGAAATGCTACCTTTGATCTTATTCTTATTGATAGTTGGGATTTCTTTTAAGTCATTTGTTATTTGTTGTTCTTGTTTACGGAGGTATTTAAGTTTTGTATCGAAATCTGAATATTCAGGCTTCAGAGATTTGAGATCTTTTCGTATTTGATTGATTGTGGCTGCTTCCTCAGAAAACTACAATACAATATGATTAAGGAATAAAAAATGCTGTATCATTCAATCTATATTGGGAATATAAAAACATGAGTGTATGTACTAACTAATACACATAATGCACAAAGTTGAAGCAAATGTAAATGGGTTAATTAATATTCAATATTTATTAAAAATACATCACAGAAAATTCATGATGGGAAAAGTATTCACAATTGTGTATCCTTTAAACTATACAGTAGTTCTCACCCCGGGGTTCACTCTAAATAATTTGGGTAGGCATGTGCAGCAGGGGTAATTTTGGCTTGGGGCATAAACCATGGAAGCTGGCCACTCTGAGAGGAAAAAAAACATGGAAAATTTGTCGAAGAGAGAGCCTTTTTTAAGTTAAAAATCAATTTTTCTACAAATAATGGTAATAAATCGGTAAAATCAGTTGGCGAGGTCTAGGATAAATCACCTAAAAAGTGGATTTTATAGTTAAACACATATATTTCAGGAAATTTACTCCCTTTTATAAGTCCGAGAGGAAGTATGCATGGAAACGTTCAATCTTGGGAGGAAATTGACATGGAATAAATGCTCAAAAAGGGGGTTTTTGGCGTAGGTAATTAAGAGGTGTATTGGAGTGAACCCTCCGGGGTTCTCACACATCACCATTTTTGTTGGATGATGGGAAATCAGGTAATTGAGTACTACAAGAAATTAGTTCTCAATATCTTTTATCTTATTCCAGATCACCCTGTAAAAGCCAAAAACAGCACCTTAACTACCCACAGCAAGTTAATATAACTTTGTCCTACGATGACAGAGAAATAGTATATTTTAGTTTTAAAAAAATATATAATATTTTGAAAAGCAGCTGTCAATGAGTCAGATTAGCAACTGCTTATATTAGATAATTCAATTAATTTATATATTTACTATCGATCAAAAACATAACCCTCAGAAATTGTTTGCAATATTTTACATGTACATGCCTCTCTCTTGACGTGATGTGTTTTCTTTTGTTAGATTGCTGTTTTTGGTTGCTTAATTGTGTATGAGTTTCTGTTCTATTTTTTTAAAGTTTGAATTGGAGTAAAAATGATTTTTCTTACATCTTCTTCAGCTCTTTTTGCATCTTCCTCCGCCCTCTTTGCATCTTCCTCAGCCCTCTTTGCGCCTTCTTCAGCCTTTTTTGCCCTTTCCTTAAGCAGCTTACTGACTACATCATCCACGTTTCGTATGGTAACAGGTTCATACTATAAATGAGTATGATAAAACATCAATGCACAACAATGTTTAGGGGGACTATAGTTTGCCATTGTATTACACTGTTAACCAAGTGAGATAAAGTGAGATGGATGTGAGACAACGTGCCAATTAATAGAATTAATGAATATTTATAGAAAAAAGAAATTCCTGGATTCAGACATGAGAAGGCTGGAAGTCTATAAGACACAGTTGAACAACTCTTGTCATTTTATCGGCTTTGTATAAAAACCTCCTACCTCATACCCACCTACCCACCTATGTGGGGCATGATACAGTCATTTTTAAATCTCAAAATAAATAGCTCTTATTATTAACATTTTTACAATAGACTAGATGCGAGTAGAAATGATATTGATTTACGTCATTAAATATTCAAAATTCAGTCAAAGCGATGTCATATTTGAAATCTACATGTAAAAATACATCTAAAAATATGATTTAGAAAATTGTATATCAACTTTAAAAATATAATCTTTTTTGAAAATGTGACTTCTAGTTCGGGTTGATTCCCAATAGACCCCATATTAAAAAATCACAAAAAGTGAAATATCTTTTCTTGTACTAGACATATAACATTTTCTTTTACTGGACATACTTAAATTTGCATAACTATTCGATACATAAGGGCTATATGAAAATTGAACCACTAAAACAGATGTAATTTAAGTTAAAGGGAACTTTCTACTATACCCGCCATGCTATCTGACCCGAGCGAGCCACCTGGTGGTGAAACTGGTAACTACCTACTCGCATTTGCGTTATTCCGGCTTTATTTTATGACTAGACGGATGACAGATCCATAAATAAAGGCATATGGGTGCATTGTAATGTGTAATGACCTGAGGGCGCCCCGGGGGATAACTAACAAGCGACCACGAGCATAGGTCCAACAAGCCAGATAAAGAAATTGAAAGAAGGTGTGCTAAATCCAATGCCCTGAATGGGAATCAAACCCAGCTGGGCTGTAGTAGCGACTTGCTATCAAGGGTAATTACAAATGCATCTATAATTCATCTTAAACTAAGATTTAATAAACTAAGATCTTAAAAATTGAACCCTTCAAAGACTGTATCATGTCCAACATACGTTGGTAGGTGGGTCTTAGGTAGGAGGTTTTTTATACAAAGCCCATTTTATCTGGCACTTTTATCATTATATTGCATCATGTCAATACAAATGTTAGTGAGAAAATTCCCAAGTTAGAGTCTGCTTTATTGTGTTTCAGTTTTCAGTTTCAGTCTCCTTTATTGTGTTGAACATGCATAAATAATTTTTTTACAATCAAATTTATTTCATTTGCTTATGTCTCAGAGCCCTTTTGAGAAAGTTACATTAGGTGTGCACATACCTCTCTAAAATCTCTAATTAATTTATAGTTTATGGCAGATCGCCAAAGCACTTCATGAATACAAATTCATAAAATACAGTTTTTCAAATTAATGACTATCTTGTTTATCTAGACTCAGCTGACATGACTGAACAAACAATATCTTGTAAAAATGCCATTTATATTTAGAACATTTTTGAGAAAACAGTGCAGCTCATATCCAAATATGGTGCGACGGGCCTGTGGTACTTTAATAGTCTTTATCATTTTTTGAAGTTATCGGTGTCATTTAGACACATGTTTACAACTCAAATCTGATAGAGAGATGTTTACGACTCAAATCTGACAGAGGCCTCTTCATTTGAAAAGGCCTCTGTCACTTTCAACACTTATAGCGATTATCAATTTTGTTTTCTCAAGATCATGATGAATATACCAGTCAGTCTGTCTTATCTTATCTTTTGGCTAGTAGTAAAGTTGAAATAAAATTGAAAAAAAAACTGGTCCAGTTTGCTCCAATCTGATTGGCTGACTGAGTTCAAGAAACGTGATGCATGTTTCCATTTATAACTTTCAAGGGTTTTGAAATGTAGAAAAACAGTTGTATGTTGCTTTGGCCTAATTTTCTCAATATATCGGCGATGCTGTGTCTTTAATTTATTCTCAAGATATATTATATTTTAGGCATGTAAGATATGATATTATGAGGTTATATAATGGTTGATTCCGTATATCGTGTTTATACTCAAATGATATATATCATATACTCACGAGAGTATAGCGATTTACAGAATCAACCATTATATGATCTTATTATCCCACCCAAATCTTTAATCAATTAAAAAGGTTAATCTAAATTCAGCAGTTGTATATCAAGTCGAAGAGTTGTATTCGCTGCCCAGGAGTTGTATACGCTATCCAGGAGTTGTATATCGTTCTCAAGAGTTGTATACGATGAGTGTTGGTTTTATATTGCAGATATACAATGCTGTTATACAATCATATAAAGCACTTAGGGTGGGATAATTGGTGATATCCCATTATAATTGCTCAAACTCATGTCATTCAGCATGGGTTTGGAATGGGATAGGAATATACCTCCTTCAACCTTTTATCTTACCAATCATTTTTTGACCAAAAATGGTAAAATAAAGATAAAGCACTTTGTCTATGAACCCGATGAAAGCTGAATGTTGTTTTTAAAATACATTTCCCATGTAACACAAACAAATGTTTAAAACTCAGTCATTCAGCGTGGGTTTGAAATCACATATGGCAAATGTTCTATGTTCTTTCATTCTTAGACTACCGAGTTGCATTGGTCTATCCCAAAAATTTCCGGTAAAGTTGATCACTACACAAGCACAGACATATTGTGCAATGGCTCACATCATTCTCCTTATTTTTGTTTCAATTTTCCAAGCTGTTAGTATAGACATTATTCCCACAGATAAAAACCTGGGGTATTTCATGCTTATAGTGATTGTGACCCACTTTGGCATTTGGAGCATGTTTTATAAATGGCCATAAAATCGTAACTGTTGGGGACCAATAAAACCATGACCGAGGGAAATATGATATTGACCGAACGAGCGTAGAATGAAATAACATTGAGCAAGGTTTAATTATGCCAAATATGACTTTAAGACCATGCTGAATGTCTGAGTTATAAAAATACATTTGATTGGGTTACCTGTTTTGGCTCATCTTGTATATAAATGAATGTATAATCTTAAAGCTTACCTGCAGCTCTTCAACCTCCCACTCCAGTGGCACGTGACATTCATGTTTGCACTCTGGGCAGTTGAATGATCCACCACTCAGTTCACTTTCCACTACAAGTTTCTGAATACAAGTAATACAGCAACGGTGCCTACATTGCAATTCCTTCAATGATGTATTGGTGCGATTGTCCTTACATAATACACAAGACTGCAGAGACCCTTCATGGCCATCCTCCATTGTGTGCTGCAAGCCTGCAAGTGACACCTCTCAGTCTTGTACTTTGGTAAGGCCCATATATCGTTCGACTCTGATTCCAAAGTCTCAACTTGTTTTTGAATACTTAAATATCTATAAATTAAAGACAATAATCATGTTGAATATTAACAGACATGTAAAAGATAAGTGTTTATGAGTGACCCTTTTGTTGGATTTGCTACATGCTCAAAATTTTATGAAGAGGTATTCTACTTAAAACATACAACTTACAGCATTCTCTCTAGGATTTTTTGTCAAGTTGGTGCAAAATTCTCATTTTCACAATTCATACCAAAATTGGTCAAAATATGCCAATTTTCATGGTTTTTCTTATTTTAAAGTGGGTGCAAATAGATTTCCAAGTGGGTTCAAGCCTATTTTTTAAAATCTCAGGTGGGTGCTGTGCCCACTTGGTATAATGCTGGGGAGATCACTGACTTACCTCATACCCAAAAACAATGAATAAGCATGACTGACATGATTTCCAAACATAATCAGCATGATTGCATCATTTCCAAACTAAATCAGCATGACTGACATGATTTCAAAGCACAATCAGCATGACTGACATGATTTCAAAGCACAATCAGCATGACTGACATGATTTAAAAGCACAATCAGCATGACTGACATGATTTCAAAGCACAATCAGCATGACTGACATGATTTTTAATCACAATCAGCATGACTGATATGATTTCCAACCACAAACAATCAGCATGACTGGTATGATTTCAAAGCATAATCAGTATGACTGGGATGATTTCCAAGCACAATCAGCATGACTGATGTGATTTCCAAGCATAATCAGCATGACTGATATAATTTCCAAGCATAATCAGCATGACAGACATGATTTCCAAACGTAATCAACATGACTGACATGATTTCAAAGCACAATCAGCATGACTGACATGATTTCAAAGCACAATCAGGATGACTGACATGATTTTTAATCACAATCAGCATGACTGATATGATTTCCAACCACAAACAATCAGCATGACTGGTATGATTTCAAAGCATAATCAGTATGACTGGGATGATTTCCAAGCACAAACAGCTTGACTGACATGATTTCCAAGTATAATTAGCATGACTGGCATGATTTCCAGGCTCAATCAGCATGATTTCCAAGTATAATCAGCATGACTGGCATGATTTTCAAGCACAATCAGCATGTCTCACATGTATTCCAAACATAATCAGCACTGACTGGCATGATTTCCAAGCACAATCAGTATGACTGGGATGATTTCCAAGCACAATCAGCATGACTGATATAATTTCCAAGCACAGTCAGCATGACTGATATGATTTCCAACCACAAACAATCAGCATGACTGGTATGATTTCAAAGCATAATCAGTATGACTGGCATGATTTCCAAACATAATCAACATGACTGACATGATTTCAAAGCACAATCAGCATGACTGACATGATTTCAAAGCACAATCAGCATGACTGGCATGATTTCCAACCACAAACAATCAGCATGACTGGTATGATTTCAAAGCATAATCAGCATGACAGACATGATTTCAAAGCACAATCAGCTTGACTGACATGATTTCCAAACATAATCAACATGACTGACATGATTTCAAAGCACAATCAGCATGACTGATATGATTTCCAACCACAAACAATCAGCATGACTGGTATGATTTCAAAGCATAATCAGTATGACTGGCATGAATTCCAAGTGTAATCAGCATGACTGGCATGATTTCCAAGAACAATCAGCATGACTGGCATGAATTCCAAGTGCGATCAGCATGACTGGCATGAATTCCAAGTGCGATCAGCATGACTGGCATGAATTCCAAGCATAATCAGCATGACTGACATGATTTCCAAGTATAATTAGCATGACTGGCATGATTTCCAGGCTCAATCAGCATGATTTCCAAGTATAATCAGCATGACGGCATTATTTCCAAGCATAATCAGCATGACTGGCGTGATTTCCAAGTATAATCAGCATGACTGGCATGAGTTCGAAGTGCAATCAGGATGACTGGCATGAGTTCCAAGTGCAATCAGCATGACTGGCATGATTTCAATGGATGGCGGAGATGGAGGAAGGTCTTCACTATATCCCTACTGAACTTTGTTCATTGGGATAGCAACTTATATCAATATGTTCTGACATTTCTGACAACAGGATGAAGGCATTGTCCATACAAGATGTTATCTTGACATACTTCTTGACTGTAACTGAGTGTGCTTAACATTCAGAATTATTTTGAAAACTGTTTATGAAAGGTTTGTATCATATCAAATCCAGGATGTTAAAAAATAGTGAAATTCATTTATTCAATTTACCAAGATATAACAGAACTCTGATATGATATATGTTGGTTACATGATTTACATTTACAAATAGAGTTAGTACTATCTAATTATAAGTGAGTAAAGTTGGCTGCATATTGGTATTGGGATTGAGATTCAAAATGACCAGCACCTGCTGGTGAGCTTGAATGTCAATACCAATACAAATATGATCTCATATTAGGTTTCATATCTTCTATTTGAATGCCAATTTGAATCCTAATATGAATTTTATGTCACTTGAGCGATTTTCTGCAGCAAATGTAGTCGAATGTCAATCCCAATACAAAATATGAGCTCATATTAGGAGGCGCTTTCTCTGTTTGAATCCTAATACGAATACTAATATGAGTCCTAATATGGTTGTTTATATAATTCTAGCAAAGAAGGATGATTTTTCTGCAGCAAATGTGGTCGAATGTCAATACCAATACAAATATGATCTCATATTAGGATTCAACAAATATGTTTGAATACTTTTATACGAATACTTAATTATGAATGCTAACATGGTTGTTTACATCATTCTAGCAAAGAAAGACGACTTTTCTGCAGCAAAATGTGGTCGAATGTCAATACCAATACAAATATGAGCTCATATAAGCATTCACCAACTATCTTTGAATCTTAATACGAATACTAATATGAATCCTAATATGGTTGTTTATATCATTCTAGCAAAAAAAGATGACTTTTCTGCTGCAATTGCGGTCGAATGTCAATACCAATACAAATATGAGCTCATATTAGGATTCGCAAAGTCTGTTTGAATACTAATACGAATACTAATATGAATCCTAATATGGTTATCTATATCACAATAGCGAAGAAACACGATACTTCTATAGCAAATGTGGTCGAATGTCAATACCAATACAAATATGAGGTCATATTAGGATTCGCAAAGTCTGTTTGAATACTAATACGAATACTAATATGAATCCTAATATGGTTGTTTATATCATTCTAGCGAAGAAAGATGACTTTTCTGCTGCAATTGCGGTCGAATGTCAATACCAATACAAATATGAGGTCATATTAGGATTCGCAAAGTCTGTTTGAATACTAATACGAATACTAATATGAATCCTAATACGGTTGTTTATATCATGCATTCTAGCGAAGAAGGATGACTTTTCTGCAGAAAATGTGGTCGAAAGTCAATACCAATACAAATATGAGCTCATATTAAAATTCGCATACTCTGTTTGAATCTTAATATGAATCCTAATATGAATACTAATATGGTTATCTATATCACAATAGCGAAGAAACACGATTATTCTACAGCAAATGTGGTCAAATGTCAATACCAATACAAATATGAGCTCATATTAGCATTCACAAACTATGTTTGAATCCTAATACGAATACTAATATGAATCCTAATATGGTTGTTTATATAATTCTAGCCAAGAAGGATGATTTTTCTGCAGCAAATGTGGTCAAATGTCAATACCAATACAAATATGATCTCATATTAGGATTCAACAAATACGTTTGAATCCTAATACGAATACTAATATGAATGCTAATATGGTTGTTTACATCATTCTAGCAAAGAAAGACGACTTTTCTGCTGCAAATGCGGTCGAATGTCAATACCAATACAAATATGATCTCATATTAGGATTCAACAAATATGTTTGAATCCTAATACAAATACTAATGTGAATGCTGATATGGCTGTTTACATCATTCTAGCAAAGAAAGATGACTTTTCTGTTGCAAATGCGGTCGAATGTTAATGCCAATACAAATATGAGGTCATATTAGGATTTGCAAAGTCTGTTTGAATACTAATACGAATACTAATATGAATCCTAATATGGTTGTTTATATCATTCTAGCGAAGAAGGGTGACTTTTCTGCAGGAAATGTGGTCGAAAGTCAATACCAATACAAATATGAGCTCATATTAAAATTCGCATACTCTTTTTGAATCTTAATACGAATCCTAATATGAATACTAATATGGTTATCTATATCACAATAGCGAAGAAACACGATTATTCTACAGCAAATGTGGTCGAATGTCAATACCAATACAAATATGAGCTCATATTAGCATTCACAAACTATGTTTGAATCCTAATACGAATACTAATATGAATCCTAATATGGTTGTTTATATAATTCTAGCAAAGAAGGATGATTTTTCTGCAGCAAATGTGGTCAAATGTCAATACCAATACAAATATGATCTCATATTAGGATTCAACAAATACGTTTGAATCCTAATACGAATACTAATATGAATGCTAATATGGTTGTTTACATCATTTTAGCTAAGAAAGACGACTTTTCTGCTGCAAATGCGGTCGAATGTCAATACCAATACAAATATGATCTCATATTAGGATTCATCAAATATCATTGAATCCTAATACGAATACTAATATGAATGCTAATATGGTTGTTTACATCATTCTAGCAAAGAAAGACGACTTTTCTGCTGCAAATGCGGTCGAATGTCAATACCAATACAAATATGATCTCATATTAGGATTCATCAAATATGATTGAATCCTAATACGAATACTAATATGAATGCTAATATGGTTGTTTACATCATTTTAGCTAAGAAAGACGACTTTTCTGCTGCAAATGCGGTCGAATGTCAATACCAATACAAATATGATCTCATATTAGGATTCATCAAATATGATTGAATCCTAATACGAATACTAATATGAATGCTAATATGGTTGTTTACATCATTCTAGCAAAGAAAGACGACTTTTCTGCTGCAAATG